TAAGTTTGCACTTGATTTCGCTTGATTACCAAAATATTCTCGTCGTTAATGACATTCTAGTGGATCTAGGCAACACAGATAAAACATGTTCTTAGGAATAGCATCCAGATCAGCTTAATTGAGTAAGTACGATTCCATAACTCTAGGTTTATAATCTTTAAACATCTCTTAGAATTAAGTGCAATAATTGTATCCCATGCAACATGCAACTATTGCTACTTGCCATCCTTCTAAAAATATATTTCTATATATATGCAAGGCGGTGCACGTTGAGTTGATAAAATTTATACAACGATTGGAGAGCTAGGCAACTGTTTTAACTCTGCTCTGATCCTCCTCAATTCTAGGAAACTCGGTGATTTGGCTCAGAATTTTCTAGTTAATTGACAAAAAGAAATTATTATGCATTTTTATGTTTACTATGTATAATGAGAAATATTTTCAAACCATTAGACTAATCTATGCTTTTGTAATAATTACTTCGATATTGTTGTAGTCGTTAGCAAATTTAGATAATATGAATAAGGGAATTTGTACAAAGTGTAAACACAACATATGTTTATCAAACTCCCGACAGAAAATTGTGATTTAGAAATATCATTTAAAAATGGCATTATGGTTAATGGCAAATTTTCGCACGCATGTGGGGTACATATTTTTTTAACAAAAATTTGGATCTAATTTATAATTTTTTCAGACCGAAAAGCAAAACAGATTAAATTATTTATCTGTCTGATGGTCGAATTCTTGACTTTAAAGACTCTTTTTATTTGATCAATTAGCATATTGGTTGAGTTATCCACAACGGATCATATAAAATACATTTTGTGCATATAATTTTTATTTTGGGCATGTCTCTGTATAAACCATTCATACTACATCGTCCACAGGTATAGTTCACTAAATTCTGATTCAAATAAAAACATTTGTCAGAAATATGATCGCAAATATGTTTAGTAAACTTTATTTTTTGGGGAAAAGATTATTCTGTGTGGCTGAGCTCAAGTAATGTTATTACTCTAGCTTATTCAATTCTTCCTCAATGTTAGTATTTTCACTTGTTATTTCTTATCTACCTGTCAATATATGCTTTTTAACTCTTTTTTATATCAACTTGTTTTGTTTTTTAACTGTAAAACAAATTGTTTAACTAGTTAACATAATATGATTATTTATTATTTGATTAAAACTATGAGCATAAAATAGCCCCAAAAATAAATATCTAGTATGTGCTCTAGTTAGAATACGTTATAAGTAAGATGTACGACAAAGCATTATACAGGTAAAACCTCTATAAATTAATAATATTGGGACCACTGTATTTAACTAAATTTTATTAATTTATCGTATTTATTAATTTACAGAGGTGATATTTAGGCTAAAATATCAATTTCAGACCGGAGAAAATTATTAATTTAATGATATATTAATTTATCGAATATTAATTTATATAAGTTTCACTGTATATAGTGTATAAACGTATATTAATTTATATAGGTTTTAGTGCTTATTAATTCTTTGAGAGGAAAATTACATTATTTGTTAGTTTTTTTATTAAACAAAATGACATTGTTTTATTTTCTACCAAAACAAAATTTATTGTGATATCTATTATAATATCGTAGGCCATATAATTTTCATTGCATAGTCAAAATACTATAAAATTTTCAACTTTCAGTATCGTACATGCCGTTTTTTTTTTTTTTTTGACAAAGAACATGCCATATGTTATAACAATGAAATGCACGTAAATCTCTAAAAGGAGATGAACTAAAATTCTAATAATGAGATTTAAGAAAAATTATTTAGTATGATCAATCAATCAATCAGTCAATTTTCATAACATAATAATTAATAGATTGATAAAATAGATAACAATAATGATTTAATGCGTTGGTCAAAGATTGTGTTTCGGCCCATGCACACTCATATTTGCATAGACAACAACACGTCTTTGAGAGATACGGCTTCGGTACGTTCAAACTGGTCACTATTATCTTTGATCGCTCAATAAATGCTGCAATAGAGTGAATGAGAAAGCTCATCATAATGAAATTCAATTATTAATCAAATTCAGAATTTTATTCACATATATTACTATATGAGTATACTCTATTGGTCTTTGTCCAAAAAAAAAAGAGTATACTCTATTGGTCAAAGGTTTTGTTCTCTTAAGAATTGATTACATGATTTGTATGTGTTTCCCTTTTAAAAAGGGAAAAACCTTAAGAGTGCCAAGTATGCATCAAAAGAAGAAGGACTATATTGACTACCATTTAATAAAACATTCCAACGGACTTAGACCCGATTACTTCTTTACAACTCCAAAACTAGAATTGATGATGTACCCTCATTCTTTGTATACCCAATAAATGATAATTGATGATGTAGCCTCAGCTTCTATTTGCAGTATTATACTACTCAATATTTGACTCATTCACTAGAATTTCAAACGATCAATATCCATTTCGAGGTTACTAATTAGCGTGTCTAATGTATATTTAGTTGTCACCCTCAAATCCCAAAAAAAAAAATTGTTTTTGATTTTATCATTCAGTGCAAGTTTTTGGAAAATGTATGTATTCGGTAAAATCATATTTTTAAAATGTGAAACTTGAAAAGCCCACATACCATTTGACTGATGTAAACCCTAACAATTGACAAAAATGAGTAAACCTTCTTATTTCAGATTTGACTAACACTACAGAAATGGAGTAACACATTTCTCTTTCTATAAAAACATAGACACAATTTTTTTTTTTTTACGGATTAACACTATATACGTGGGACAAGTGAGAAACATAGGTAATTAATAGTTTCATACCTCATTCAAGACAATTATCTTCGTGACAAATTTTCAATTATTTTTTACAAAGAAATCTTAGTTCATAAAAAGAGATGAACCATTTAATTGGTTAGCTTGGATTGTACGTAGCTACAATAAGTTCATAAGTTGGTAGGCTATTAGCAGTACACTGGAAGTCTAGAACAAACCTATTTAAATACTCGTCAACATTCTTGTAGATGAACATCTACATGGATATTATTTTATACTCCCTCCGTTTCGTTTTAGTTGTCGTTTAAGGTTTTCGCACACAAATTAAGAAAATCATTAAATTTTTTTTTTTTACCCTTTATTAATATATTTTATAATTTTTTTATTGGTCAAAACATTAAAACATTAATGACAAAACATGAATTTTCACCAAACATTTGCATTGAAAACCTAAAACGACAACTATTATGAAACAAAATTTTAATCCTAAAACGACAACTAAATTGAAACGGAGGGAGTAGTATCTATTATAAAGCCAATAATTATGAAGTCGACATGCATTTAAAATAACGGAATATATATATGGTCTGATTGTTTACTTGCCGAATATATATATTCGGTATCTATTATTAATTGCATTGAATTCTTGAGATGAAAAAAATAATTTAAGAGACCCACACGTAATGAAGCAGCAGTAATGTTACATCCAATTTCCCATGTACACAAACAAGCCTTCTCTTCACTAACATTTAATGTGTCGATAGGGTACACACACACACGTCTTTTTCTCTTTTGTTTTACACACAAGTCAGAAAACCTCTTCTTCTTTTCTTCTTTCTTTCTCCATTTTTAATTTTTCCACACACACACATTTACTCTTAGTTGATCTCCTGAAGTCCTTTTGAATTTTATTTTATTTAGAATTCAAGCAAAATGGAACATGTATAAAGATGATACAAGTTGGTTTTGATTGGATCACATAAAGTCCAAGACCAGTCCAAACCACACTAATCAAACTAAGTTTCAGGCCCAACAAAAACTGACTCAAATTTTCTGTAAATTAAACTTTTTAGAAAAGTTAATTTGTAATTAATATTTTTTATAAGCCCATCAAAAATGACCCAAATCAGAACTAGTCACACTATCATCTGAGAAGAACGCATTTACGCATATAAAAATCAGATTTTCATAACCATAATTTCAAGATAGAAGTGTTCAAGTAATGTTGTAAGGGAACCATTATCCTTCATAACCATATTTACAAGATGGCCATATTTTCATAACCATATTTACAAATTCAGAATACTAACTGTCACTGATTTAGTGTCTTTGTAGAGGAACCATCATCCTTCAATACCCTACAAGCTCCTTCCTTCATTTCCTTCACATTAATCCTCACCCCTTTAGCTACCTCACAACCCTATCGTCCCCCGCATGCGCCCTAAACGCCACACGGATATCTTCAGTCAACAAAATCGCATTCATCTTTTGCTCGCGTATAATGGCCATGCTATTAGTGGAATACCGTTTACTATACTTTCTAGAGTTGAATTCCATCCGCAATGAGTCAAAAATCTTGCCGTGGATGGATGCGCTAAGACTTGTGCTTGTGGGGCCCAAGAGGGTATCACAAAACCTTTTTTATATAAATCATGTGATCCTAAAGACTTTCTAGACCCAAAGACTAATCCAAGAGTCCGGGAAAACCATGTTAGAATTCGAACCCCGGTGGCCAATGCTACTCTAAATATCACAAAACCTTTGTCTTTGGTTCGCTCTAAATATCCAGGTGGTAAACAAGTTAATTAATCGGATTTGTTATGCGAATCAAAATATGAAGAACTAGCAGTTGCACTCGGACTCCGTATGACCCAAAGAAACCGTTGCTCACTTTTTTCAAGACCAAGAGCAAGCTCATTGATTTGTCACATGTGAGTGTACCACCACTACCAAACGACACATACAAAACCGAACCAAGCGGTTGGTTATCCAACCAATTTACACATTCGGACTCTTCAAAATAGTTCCCGTTTGATAATTTGGAATATAAGACATACATGTTCCAAAAATTATAGGAGCAAAAAACGAAAAAAATTCCCCTAGCCTTCTCGGGGAAAAAAAAGAAAGTTGTTGCACTGTTAGGAATTGAAAAATAATGAGATAAAAGTAAAAATTTAAGACAATTAAAATTATATAAAAAACCGGAGCCCAATTAGAAAATATTGAACAGAATTGGATACCAACAATGAGTTGATGATTAATTTATTAAATAAGGCCCATAATACTGTCTACAAATACAGAGATGATAAAACCCTACTACACAAGGCAGCCGAATAATAACAAAAAAAAAAAAATGGACCTGATGATAACGTCGAGCGCAGAGATGAAGAAGATTACGAGTCTCGATGATGATAAGCTTTGGGCAGGATTTGATTGGGAGGAAACTGATAAAATCCTGAGTGGTGAAATTAAACCCAGGACCTTGATCACTAGTTATCCTTTCCCAGCTATTCGATATCCTCAGAGAGGACCTTTGATTGCACAGGAATTGGTCTCAGTGTTCCCGAATTCTTGCTACATGAGGAGAGGGATTAGATCCAAATTACATGAGGTCATAGCAAAAGCTAAAAAGAAGCATTTTACATCTCTAATTCTCACTCATACAAACTCTCGTGGACATGGTCAGTGTTTATTTATACTCCTCTTCTTGATATATAGACCAGACCTCTGTGGTGTGGTGTCATATCTTTGTCTTTCTTGTTTGGTTATGCAGATGAACTCATTATCATAAGCTTGCTGAATGGTGCATCCGCTGTTTTCAGTGTTATTGATTTCATCCCACGGGCTGATATACCGGTACATTTGGTTTGCATATTTATATATTCAAATCTGCATTCATAAACTCAAATTTGTTTTCATTATTTTCTGGTCTTACAGAATTGTGCAAATCCCCTGAGCCGCCGCATATATCCTGAGCTTCATATGAAGAGTTTTGATTCTCAGGCCAGTGTTGGCACAGCCAGAATGATACAAGCACTCTTCCCCAAGGTCACTTCTTCTGGTGGAAGGCCTGTTGCATGGTTTCAGAAGCAGAATAATCATATATTTTTTCGATCTCATCGGTAACTTGTCTCACCACCCACTTTTTTGTTATCTCTTGAGGTTATTTTTGGTCTGACTATAAATAATAAATCAATCTTCTTGTTCAGTTTCTGCTATGAGGAAGCACTTTCAGGAGAAAGTTCAAGTGTTCGCAGACAAGTACAGGTTTCATATCTATTGCTTTTACTTTACTGACCTTTTTGATGTGTTGGAGATGTAGCATTCTTGTTTTGATTTTCTTCAACTATTCTTTTTTGTGTGGCAGGAATGTGGACCTCGCTTCGCACTCAAGTTAAAGGCTGTTGAAAGAGTATCGTTTGAAACCGGGAAATTCAAATTGCTTTGTGTGGTAAATCACTGCAAGACTGATTTTGTTTGATGAGTAGTTTCTCTTGACAAGCCCTACCTAACACAACACATTGTTTCTCCTTTGTTTTAGGAAGTCTTGGATGATTATGCCTAGATCATTTCAGCTTTGACGACCCTTCTTGTTACGGTAGTCTGCGTATTTCGTCTAATTTGTTTGTCCTAGTCCATGTTTTGTGCACAACTAAAACAAAAAATCCAACTTTTAGGGAGTCTTGGATGAGCTCTAGATAGACTAGCTAACTTTTACGGTGGATTCTTGGAGCCAATGCTCCACTCTGCCTTTTTTAAATTTTTATCCCAAACACGTTTTTACATATTTTTTTCAGCTTAACTAATTAAACTTACATAGAAGTTTACAAGGTTTTATTCACCAAAATTAAGCTCTCCGGATGGGTAGAAGCCTTTTTTATCCGTTGTTTGTCCGGTCTTGTGCAGGGTTAGGAACATCCTTTCCGGAGATCAGTACACATCCGGGGAGCTTAATCGGTTCGGTTAATCCCTAAACTCAGACGACACATTTTTGTCTAGTTTAGGCAAATTGAGAAAAAAACGACAAGATGTTTTGCATTTATAATGTTTAATCTCAAAACTTCACAATTCGAATTTTTTAAAATATTCATCTCAAACCTTTATTGTTCAAATATTCATGTTGTATTTATATCGTGTTTCAACCGTTATTACCGTCGTTTTATTGAAACGGTATGTTAATTTTCGTTAACTAAATTTGATGTGGCAACTAAAACCGACAAAATGAATAAAATGATAATTTCAGACTAGAGTTGTGGTGGCTCACTATGATGAACAAGAGACATGTGATCGCGGTTGTGAAGAACAATGTGATTGCAAAGAGAGGAACACATGAGACATTAACGTAGATTTCAGGTTGTGCTTATGTTTCTCTTGTTAGCTATATTCACTCCAAATAAGAAGCTAATTAATGTCACAATTTGATATAAATAGGAACCTAAACTATTAACCGAAGTGATATCGTGTTAATTTTATTTTATCTTCATCTATATATATATATATATATATATATATATATTATTGGTGATCTGTATCATGTGTTTGAGCTCTCTAATCCGACAGCAACAGAGTAATGCGTCATAGCACTTAAGCCAATAACAATTTATGTATTTTTGATATTTCTACTGTGAAAAAATGCAGAAACAAAATATCATTTTTTAGCCAAAAAAACTACTGAATAAATTTTCATTTTTTGACCAAACCGTCGTGGTCCTAATATTAGTCAATAGAGCATATTTAACCCTCTTAATCAGTGTTTTAAAGTTCGTTAAAATGAAATTACATCATTTCAATTAACTCAAAATCCTCAAATTTAACCAATAACCCCAAATTCGAGCTCAGTCCTAGTCGATTACCATATCATAATTGAGACACAAAACTCATTGGAAACCCCTATAAACCTAACATGACAACTAATCAAACATGGAGAATGAAACAAAAGTAAAAGCAAAAACAAGAGAGAAAATAAGCATAATCAATATCATAGGTAGAATATGGTAAGCAAGGCTTTTAGAGCCAATGATCCTAGCTATGTTAGTAGAGCTTCAGCATCTTCAAGTAGATTTGAGAAAGGAAAGGGTATTGCTTTTGTTTTAGCCAAAAACTCCAATTAATCCAAGAGCATCTCAAACTCAGAGGCCATCTCATATGGTGTTGGTTGACGAAGATGGTGAGAATGACACTAATGATGATTTTGGAGGAAATGAAAATAATGAAGAGTTTGCGGATGATGAGTTTGATGATAATGATAAGTTGGGTTTTTAAAGTTTAGAGTTTTATTTAAGACAACTGTGGCTTTTTTATGTTAGCTTTCTTTTTACTTTGAGTTTAGTCTAATAGCTAAGACTATATTGGATTTTACTTTTCAAAGATGTTTTTGTTTTCAAAGTTGGTTTTGGTTTTAGTTTAATAGTTAAGACAAGTAACCTTACTATTTTGAAGGTCGCCTTGCATCTAGAAAGCGACCAAGGTGTGTGTCTTAGGTGCAAGGCAACATCTAGGACCCTTTGGACCTAGGATCGCCTTTCACCATTATAAACATAGATTAGTATCCAAACTGAGTTCTTTATTGGCTACCTCAACTCTGCAAACATAGATTATTATCCAGCTGAAACTCGGTCTCGACTTACCGTTCAGTTGTTTCAGCATGAGAAGATTACATGTAGTCATTCTGGTTTTTATCTACCCGTTTCAGAGGATACTACAAAGATGGTCACATGCCACTAAAATAGAAGATGTGACATTGCAGTAGGATGTAGATTTTAAGTTGTGAGAAAACAAAAATATTCAACTGAATACAGCAAAAGTTAGTAATTCAATCAATATCATTTGGTCAAAACTAAAATTCAGCTAGATTCAAAAATATTTAGAATATCTAAAAATAACACTTGAAATATATCTTATAAAAAATGATCGAATACAATATATGGACAATTCATATATACAAAAACACTTTTTGAACGATTCGTGTTCGAGTATATAAGGTAAACATGCTAAATTTTTATATGACTTGTAATCAACAAAAATAATGAATAAAAAAGTTCAAGCTACCAGAAATAAAAAATTTAAGCTACTAGGTAATTTTACATTATATTGCCATGTTAATTTTAAAATTAAGTTTTTTACTACTCTTTTTATCAATTATTTACATGTTTTTAATAGTTAAAAATTTTATGAAATAATAACTCAATTTTACCGACCAAAATATTATTTATATTACTATTAACTTTTAAATTATTTAATATTTTCTTTATTATCCACTCATTACCTAAACCATTAGATAATTCTATTTATTTATTTAAACAATATTTTTAGTTATTCTTATATATTCATATTTTCTAGATAGTTGTTATATTGTTGCTATTTAAATATTTAATTATTTTATTATATTCTGCTAAAAATACAAATAAGTTATTCTAGATTTATTTTTTTACCATTTGTACTTTTAGTTATTCTACTAGGTTCACTAATTCAGCAAAAGAAATTAAAATAAGTCAACATTATATTACTACACAATAGCTGAATTTCACGGTTACCATTTAAATTGATAGAATATTTTTAGTCAATATTATGTACCATAACTCAATTAACATAATGTTTAATGTGTAAACAAAATAATAAAATTTAAATTTTAAAATATCGAATAAGGTATTTAGAAAACATTACATTTATTGTAATTTTACCATTAAATTTGAATTATGTTTCGTAACTACAATTATTATTAAAATATATACTTTAATTCAAATATTATTAATTTTAAATAAAAATCTCAAAAATTAAAAAACCGCAAATATCAAACTATCTGAAATTTTGATTAAATGTCATTACAAATTTTCAATTATATATGTATTTGATATTTATCTTCTTTTTTTTTTCGTCTTTTTGATATTTATCAGCATGGGACATCATCTACTTTTTATCTATAAGAAAAATAAATTCGATTTTTGATTTCCTACGTGACTCGTATCGAAACATATTATTAAATTTGTTTGACTTTACTTGATAAAATATATTTTTAAAAAGTATTATATTAATAGCTACAATATCTCCAAATTATTTTATTTAGAGCCAAATAAATTAATACATTTCAAATCAAATAAATTATTTTATTTTGTATCAAATTGTTACACACTTTTGGAATATACATTTTCCTAAATTCGTTTATTTTGTTTTTAACCAAAACATTAAAATATAGTTTAAATACTAATTTTATAAATTTTCAATGCAAATATTTCAAAATGAGAAAATATTATTCACACCAATATTCTTATTTTTCTCTTAAATTTGAATAGCTTCTTTTTTGGAAACAAACATTAAAATGATTTTTTTAACATTGTATATAAATATTATGCATTTATACATACATCCAAAATGTCTAATTTAAATTACAAGCTGTTAAAATATTTACACATCAATTACAATTAATTCAAAATGACTATCTAAAATTTATTCACATTAAACCTCTCTCTTCATTTTAAGATTTTGATAAGATTCGTTTTTAAAAATTATGGAGCAAGTTTATCAAATAAAATTAAAATATTTATATTTAATAAATTATCTCATATTAGAAATGCATTCTCTTATGCGACATGAATTGGAGACAGGTATAGGATATAATGGAACATGGCGAAACCAAACGGAATTACACCCACTTTTAAATATATATATATATATATATATATATATATATATTTGTCAACCACACATTAATTATTAAAAAGCTCCTTGATTGGTTGCCCAATTAGGAGGAGAAGTGTTTACAAAAGTAACTTCGGAAAATAAAAGTCTAGAAGAACGGGCTAAGCAGTCCGCCTTAACATCTTCTAAATATTTTTATTTGTTTAATCATTTTTAACAGTTTTATATACGGTTTGATAGTTCACAAGTTTAATAAAAATCTAATTAACCATTAATCTATTTCAATTTTATCCCGGTCCGACCGCTAAGTTGTTACGAATTTTAAAAAACTGATGAAACCATTATTATTTCAAATATTCAAATATTAATTAGCTAGATTAAAACCAAACAGAAAATTAAACTAAATACCCAATTGATATGAGTTTGGGTCATAAATACTACTCCCTCTGTCCCAAATTATAAGAGGTTTTGGCTAAAAGCACAAGGATTAAGAAACAATAAATGTTTTCTCATTTATAAAAATTCAACCAATTAAAAAAAAGACTGCATAATTTAAACACTCAAAAATTATTAAATAAATATAAATAGTGCATTAAAACTTGAAAAAATCTATTAAAATGGAACAAAGAAAAAACCCTTAAAGCTCTTATAATTTGGGACAGAGGGAGTATATAAAATATATGTGTTTACATCAATCTAACCTATATTATATTTCAATCTAAGAATTTTTCTAATCTATTCTTCAATTTTAAACTCCAAAATTTGACATATGGATCACATTTTATGACATTCTACACTTTTTTGGATATATTATAATTTATATACTATATATATTCAAAACAATAAAATAATTTACATTTACTAAAATTTTATTACAATACATTTCATAAAATATAAAACCCCGCACGAAAGTGCGGGTCATGATCTAGTTATTATTAAAATATATACTTTAATTCAAATATTATTAATTTTAAATAAAAATCTCAAAAATTAAAAAACCGCAAATATCAAACTATCTGAAATTTTGATTAAATGTCATTACAAATTTTCAATTATATATGTATTTGATATTTATCTTCTTTTTTTTTTCGTCTTTTTGATATTTATCAGCATGGGACATCATCTACTTTTTATCTATAAGAAAAATAAATTCGATTTTTGATTTCCTACGTGACTCGTATCGAAACATATTATTAAATTTGTTTGATAAATCGATTTGGCTACTAATTTTTCAAATATAACATACGGCTCCATGCCTCGTACCAATTTTGACCCTTTTGTCGGTAGGCAACAACCCCTAAATCCAAAAAATTGAAAAACAAAATTCATCATATCAACACATTTCAAACTCGGGAATTTTATTCAACAGTTATGTTTTCTTATTTGGACCCTACTAAAGAATGTATATTTCAAACTAAGAAAATATAATTTACTGCATTATGTAGACTTGTTAAATTTAAGTGCCATAGGTAGTCACGCTCAAATCTGTGTGTTAGATTTGATTCTGAACAAGAGATTTGCGAAACGATTATAAAATTCTTCCAATGTGGCCGTATTATCAACCAATTATTATTCAAATCAATTAATAACTAATTATACTCATTATTATTTGCCAAAATAAATAAAATAAAATAATAGTGTCCAAATATCTACCTGGAAAATATGAAGCAATCATGACAGAATATCTTGAAACTCACCACTCACATTTCAAAATCCAATGTTTTGTTGGCCTCTGACAACAACCAGTGGAATGTTGATGGACAACATGTTAACCTAATCAACAATAACTACTTTGATTTTTTAATTGTCTTGTATTATTGAAAGAATTCCTTAAAACCATATGCCACTTGATATATTTCTATCCACAAAGATATATCCAACACAAGGATTGATAACTTGATATGTCACTCACTTTTTTCTACTGATGATTCTTTGAACTTATTTTTTATACACTCATGTTTATCCTTCTAATCATAAAACTATAATCATATTATAACATTAGAAAAAAAAAAAAGATCCATTACAGGTAACAAATAATTAACCACCCCAGCCACCATTAAATTACAAAATAAAATACCAAAGAAGAAAATATTCTTGTTTTTAAAAGAAGAGAAGTCTTAGGTCTTTGTCTCAACATTAAAAATTGGGAAACTAAAAAAGGATAGAAACCCTAGAAAATTTAAAAAAACCAAACATCCCCCATATTAGTGAAAGTGGTATACAAACATGTGATGACATAAACTTTGATATATAGTAATATTATATAATTATTTATTAATGATCTTCTAGACCAAAGGAGTGTTGAGTAAACCATTGTTCCAAGATGAAGCCATTCCATTCCAGCTTTCCCTTCCGGGATCAATCTCCGGTACAACTCCGGCAGAATCTCCGGTCATCTGCCATGGAAATCCCCATAAGACCTTGCTAGGATTCTCTGAGATATTGTTGTTATTGTTCACATTCTCTTGCTTTCTCTCGTTTCCTTCCAAAGACATCCCCAATGTAGAAGCCATCTTGATTTCATTTTGATGATTGTTACCATTTCCGGACATAAACCCATAACACAAGCTATTGTTGAAATTACCGTTTTGTCCTCCAAAGATCCCTACATCATTGGCTGAGTTTCCATAAATATAAAGATCACCTCCAAACCCAAAAGAAGGCGTAGTAGCCTGAGAGGATGAATGATGCTTTTGAAGAGTAGCAAAAGCGAGGTTAAGATCAATGGAGTCATAACCAAAAGATGATGGTGGCATTCCCGTAATTAAAGAGTTCTGAAGTGGATCATTATGGAAACTAATAGACTTATTGTTGTTCTTGGAGAAAGCTGAGGAAGAGGATCGTTTGTTTCGACGGCAACCACCACCAACGGGAACGTTACGAAGAGTACCGCCTTTAGTCCAATATCTCCGACAAGATTTGCAAAAGTAACGAGGTTGAGAGAGGCTATAGTTGTTGTAGTAACAAAACTTTGTGTTTGGAGATTCACATCTTGGACAATTTTGAGCTTCACCTCCTAATTCTCCTCTTGATACTTTCTTCTTCATTTCTTCTTCCATTTTCTTATTGTTATTATTGCTTCCTTTTGTTGAGCTTACCAATATAGTTTCCAAGGTCTCGTTTGAGATTTCCTACACATTCAAACAAATTAAATTAAATTCTGCTGACGAGTGAAATAATGATGATTTACTTTATATAACGGATTAGTCGTACGTGGCACCGATTCTTTTACCGACAATAATTCTTTGTCTACAAGGAAATGATTACTTCAATGGGTTTTGAGATAAGCTTAGGGTAATCAAGTTGATATTTATCATTAAATTGGTGAGCTCTTGATGAAATTTTTGTTGCTATGAGCAGAAGTTGAAAAGTATTACCTTATTTTTTAAGTGTTAGTGTTCTTAAAATTTTGGATTGAAGTATTAAGAGAGCTCAGAATTATAAACAAAAGTTGTTATGAAAAACTAAAATTATAGAAGAATAAATTACCTGTGGAGGATCCATCCATGCAACAAAGGATCGAAGCAACGATTACTTGTGTGTTTCTCCAGTAATAATAGCAATTATGGTTGATATTTTGCTCAAACTCTAGGGAACCAGAGAGAGGAAGAAAGAGAGAAAGAGAGTTTGAAGAAAAGTGGTGAGCAAGAGATGAATGGAGGAGAAGAGCACGGTTCTTAATATATAAAGCAAAATAGATAAAGTGTGTCCTTTATAATATGGTTATATTTCATAATTCAAATTGATTATTTATTTGTTTTGTAGCTACTTGTTGTTTTTTAAATATTGATACTATTCACGACAAAAAAAAATTGATACTATTCACATTTAGTCGAGAATGTTTTGCAAAAGTCTTCAACAATATAAGTAAGTAATACTTTTACAAGGAGTCATTTTAATTCATTTATTTAGAAGATATTAATTAGAAAATTACCTATTTAAATAAATAAGGAAAATTTCAAAAATACCTCTTTCTAAAAATATTCCTAAATGCTGTTAATTTTCAATTACAACCCTTTTACTATGTTTTATAAGATTTTATAAAAATGATTATAAATATAATTCATATTGTTTCACACAGTTTAAAATAAATAAATAAAGAAGTAGACAATAGTGATGGTTAAAATATCTAAAAGGAATATAAATCAAATGACGATAAATGGATTGAAGTCCCAAAACTAAATGACAAGAAAAAATATCATATGGATCAATGATTAGCCAAAAGAGATATTGAAAAATATATGCTTAAACCGAAGGTTATAGATACATGCTCTTTCTAAAAACGAATTCCAAACATTCTTTTGTATTTTAACAAATGTATTTTTAAAATATATATTAAATGAAAATATATTAAATTTTATAGACTTTCAACTTAAAACCAATTGATTTAATGAATTACATGTCGCATATCTTTTAGGGTCATTTTGAAAATACCCTGTTTTTGATGTATGCTTTGAAAAATACCCTTTTTCTATTTTTAATAAAATCTATAATCTTTTATATGTAAAATGACAATTTGTATTAATTTAAATTTAAAGCTATATTTTAGTAAATCAAAACTAAACTCGAATTTAGAGAAAAAAATTAACAAAATTGAAATAATATTAAATATATATATAAATTTAACACAAAGCTGATTTATTAGTTTTATATATATAATATTCAACAAGATAATATCTAAAAATATTATAAAGTATATCCCTTACTATTTTTTATATTATAGAAAATAAAATAATCTCCAACATTCCAAACTTTGCTTCTATTCAATGATTCTCTTTGAATTTGTTTTGCAAAGTAAACTATACTATGTGGTTTCAATAATAATGAATCATCAGAATCTGCACCATAACAATAACACATGACTTAACAAAAATCATAACTTAACATTGGTAGAATGTTGTTATTCATTATTGTTTTAAAAGAATATTTAAGATAATAATTTTTTGTAATTTTTAGTTATATTAAGACTTTGTAAAAATTAAATATTTAATTCTTACAAATAAATTGATTTGATATTTGAAATATAGATATTATTAATCATAATTAAGTTTAATTTAACATATTTAAAAATATTTTTTAAAATAAAAATGAAGAAAAAGCTAATTTTCAAAAGTGTAAACAAAAAAGAGAGTATTTTTCCAAATTTACTCAACTAAAAAATGCATAAATTCTATTTAAAAGTAATTGTGGTGTCGACCAAATGTGTAGAAATGAGCATGTGTAAAAAATGCATTTTTTCAACTTTAAGGTAAAACAGTTTTTTTTTTTATTTTTTTTGTCATCCGAAATTACTTAGAGTTCAAAAGAGACATTCCTGGAAATATTGTTTATATATGTGATATAAAACGGTTCTGTACGAATTATCCGCTTTAACAGTTCATAGCATAAAGAAAAGGCTCAATCATAATTTTAGTTTGCTAAACAACAATAAAAGAGACATAGAGCTAGAAATCACTGTGGTAAAAGGCTAAGTTTTTGGATGCCAATGATTGCATCCGAGCAACGACTGGTCATCAGAAAGAACTGTTGAGCTGCTACCACATTGTCTTCTTGCCCGCGCCATCAACGTTCGGTCCATCAGATTTCAGTTGACGTAGAAATTGATCGGCCATGTCGTTTTGAATCTTTTGTTACTGTTGAAGGCAGCTAAAACCCTTATCTCATCTTCCTTGCTCTCTGAACCACAGCTCATAAACACATCAACAACATCAACGGGTACATTTCTCTTGAGAGAACTTAGCATGTGTGTAGCAATCATGTCTGATGATTCATGAGGATCTATAGGAGACAACATCCTAAGCACCAAGATGGAGCCTTCAAAGAAGATGTTGTTTCCATTGAATGCACGGTAGCATGACTCAAGAATTATTTTTGTCAATTCTCGACAGGTTATGATGTTCATGTTCTCATATTCCTCGACCTGAACACTACAAGAAATTTGTATATTATTAACACATAAATATGCTATCATACATTTAACATAGCGAAATCAATAATTGTTTTGGTAACATCGAGTATGAAAAACAATGATATAATTCATGCATGATTGGTTTTAAGTACCGTGTTTAAGAATCTTACTACTATTACCACATATATTAATTACAAGCTTGCGAGTTATCACAATTTAAGCTTGAGAACTATCACAATTATCAAAGAATTGTTTCTGGTAACATTGAGTATGAAAAACAACGAACACAATATATTTCATGCAACAATTGTTTTAAGTACCGTGTTTGAGAATTTCACTACTATTACCACAAAGATGGGTTACAAGCTTGCGAGTTATCGCAAAGCTTGAAAACCATCACATTAATCATAATTGGTCACAATGTAAAAAGTGTTGATTACACAAGTTTAATTTTTTTTTTAGTCTCAACTTGTTTGAGTACTAATAATCGTTACTTACGTTATTTGCACATATTTAGGAGCTGTTGTGAGTTGTGATATGAACTAACTCAGAATTGTTTGGGGATCTTTTTTTTAGTTTGCATTAGCACCACTGAAAGCACTTTCTCGCTTTCCCGGATCGATGGTTAGCATTTAACTAATAGATTCTCGCATACTATGAGTGTATCCAGTCTCATCTTAATTAATTAGAAGGCCCTTAGCAAAAAAAAAAAAAAATTTTACTAAAAATATTTTTTTAAAAAATTGGACTCTTTTTACTTAAAGAATATATATAATAGTCAAGTCTTTTTTTATTTCCCGATGTAAGAAATGTTTGTATATATATTTTTATCACTCATTGAAATAATGCTAAACTTTCCAAAGTCTATATCTGCTCACAAAATTAGTCTCCCAAAACTATGACAAATGACTTAAAAAAAAGAGAAAAAAAAAAAGCACAATGACAAATGAATGGTGATGATTAATAAAAATATTTGGGTCGTACACATATACGTATATTATGTACACACAAGTCAAGATGACAGAATTTGGCGTGGGTTCAACTATATACATGTGGACCCTGCCACACCAATAGCCACCATCACCATCAACCAACCCCAACCCCAACCCCATTCTCAATTCAAATTCCAAACCATTTCTCCTTTATACGAGTGGCGTATGTATGTTTATACATACGCGTATGAATGTATATATTTTTGGTTTGCCTTTTTTTCAATCTGAAATATATTCTAAAAAGCTTGGTGAAATACCCAAAAATTAAACGGGAAAAATGTCATTTAAATCATCAGTTGGCTATTTCCGTTGATTTAAAGCATGAACTCTGCACCTGGTGATTAAAATGCTCAATTTTATGTTGACTTTTAATTTAATCACGAATTCTCGATGACAAAGCCAATTGAAACACAAAATCGGAATCGAAAAAAGAAAATTGATATCAAAATTAGAACTTCATAATTAAAATTTCTCTCGATTTCTTCTCTAATCCTCTCGATTTCTTCTCAAATCCCGATTTAATCTTAGTTTCTCAAGATTTCTTCTTTCGATTTCGATTTTATGTCTCAATTGGCTTTTGTCTAAGAAAATTCGTGATTAAATTGAAAGTCCACAAGAATAGAGTTCATGCTTTAAATCAACGAAAATAGCCAACTGATTATTTAAATGACATTTTTCCCAAAATTAAACCGACGAATAACAAAATATTTTCGAAAGCCAAGTTTTAGGAAAAAGAATCTCACGACAAAACCACAAAAAATCAAGCTTAAAACTAAAGTCGAAGAGGTTACAACACATAAACGAACAAAGAGCAATGATCTATATTTGAAAACTAACGAACTCCCAAACCTTTTTTTTTCTCCCAAACTTCTTGATGGTCAAAACAAACCCCAAATGACATATGAACCCAAATAGCAATTCGCAAAAATCTCATACAGTGAACGACTCTTCCTCCCGAACAAATTATTTCTTGGCTTCTAATCTGGCTAGAAAGAATCACAACTAAACGTCTAATTTCTCAATTCTTTCGAAAATGTCTAAACTTCTAGGTTCTAATTAATACATTTTTGTTTTGTTTGTTAGAGGCTCTACCAAGTTCAGACTAATAATCAGTCTTAAAAATTTTCACATTTGAAAATACAATTGACTAAGATATGTATAAAGATATTATTGAAATGTTTTTGTAGTATAATAATATTAAATAGAAATAGGAAATGAGATTGCTATTTTGTCTATCAAGAGAAAAGGAATCAGATGCGGCGTGGCTGTACAATTATACGGTCCTCGTGGGGGCCAATTAGTTAGAGCACACACAGATTTGAGGATGTTGATTGATTCATTCCTATTTTCATCTTATTATTTGTCTATTTTTCGCTGTTATGTTTCTTTAGTTTTTCTAAATAAATGTATGAAATATCAGTGTGCTACATGAGTTAGCTAGTGACGGTAGCTGCTTTAGTGGCTTCATTATTTTTAATTTTTGGTTTTCTTAAGTACTCCACCCTAAAATATTTGAACTTCATATGCTCTTGATTTAAAAGTACTCTCATATGTACCTAAAAAAGATAGCTCTTTATACATTCTTTTTAATAAAAAAATTGTTTATTCTGTATGTTAATGGTATATGATGTAATATTTAATAAATTTTATTTTACTTTTTTTTTAATGTCCTTCTATTTTAATATTAGTAGGATTGAAAATTCAATTATCTTTTTGAATATCAATTTTATCATTTAACCTAAGTACGTCAAACAA